TCTGGTATTCCGAAGCAATTACCCATCTAGGTAATGTCCAGACTCGACGTTGCTTAACTTCGGTGATCGCACGGGAACCGGTGTTTCAACCTGATATGAGCGTAAGCCTTAAATGTTTTCATGAACAGGTCTTTATGAATCATCTTGCTACTATAATTACTCCCGTTTGTAATTGGTTTATTTTGAAAATAGTCTACATAATAAAGAAAAGAAGTGAAAATATTCAGTTTGTATTTTCGTTAACCCATATTAATATGGCGTATATCCTCATCACTGTCGCCTCAATGTATGATTCCATTGATCATTAACCTCTTTTCATTCCCGGCAGAAACTGTAGCTGCAATCAGCTAATGCCCAACTTGTAACTGTAAGCGGCCCATATCTCAATTGAGAAGTTTGAGGCAGCCGAACGCACATGTCGTCTTTTTACGAAACGATAAACGCGAGCAAAGAGAGTAGAGTTAAAGGAGATAGATTCTCTAATATAAAATAAACAAATTAGCCTATATGTTACAGATACTTTTTCAGGTCGGTTGCGCTGATGGAATTTTCGATATATCAAGGCTTGTTCAGTTATTTAGTGTGGAAACCAGATTTTTTTTTACAGGTAGACATTGTCGTGTCGAAGCTTGAACTTATAAAGAGACATTGTTCATGTATTTATAGTTGAGCCTGTAGGAAAACACTAGTCTTGAATCTATAGGAAATCAGACCAGTATAAAGATAGACTCTGGTCGTGTTTATAATTGTGTCTGTAGATGCACACTGGTTGTGTTTATACTTGAGTCTATACGTAAATATTGGTCCTGATTATATTGGGTCGGAAGACAAACACTGGTAATTTTAATACTTAAGTTTATAGGCAAATATTGAACGCTTTTATATATTTTTATAGAATCCAGAGGTAGACATTGACCGTGTTCACACGTCTATAGATAAAAACTGGTTGTTTTATGTTTATAGGTAAAAACTGGTTATTTTTATACTTAAGTCTATGGAGAGACAGTTTTCGTGTTTATACGCGGTTCTATCGGTAAACACTACGTTTATACTTGAGCCTATAAATCAGTGCTACTCAAAGTGGAGGCCCGCGGACCGGTGCCGGCACGCGAACAATCAGCTACTGGCACGCGGCCATTGTCCAGGCCATGCTGAGGAATCATTTCTAAAGATTAAGGTTATATAATTTTTGTTTTGCTGTTAGTAAACTGCTTTTTTTTTTATTACTTTTTATGTTTTGATATTGAATTATTTTTTGAAAAATAAATGGAAGATAGAAAATAGCCAACTTTTATTATATTCATTATAGATATCGTTTCCGATATAAATTAATATTACCACGAAATATTACAGGGACGTGACAAACTGACACGCAAATGCAGGTCTGCCATACCAGATAGTTTGAGAAGCACTGCTATAGAAAGGTAACGGTCGTGATTAAAATTGAGCCTATAGGTAAACATTGATCCTGTTTATATTGGAGTGTGGATATCTTTATACTTGAGACTCGAGGTAAACATTTGCCAAGTTTATAGTTAATTCTGTAGATAGGCGAGATCGTGATTGTATTGGAGTCTATAGGTAAACATTAGTCCTGTCTATACATTGGTCTGTAGTCAGATGCAAGTCATATCTATACCTGAGGCCATAAGCAAATATTGATCCTGTTTATACTTTGGTCTGTACAAAGATGCCGATCATGTTTATACTTGAGGCTATAGGTAAACATTGGGTTTGTTTATACTTGAATCTATAGATAGTTTTCGTGTTCATAATTGACTCTATCGGTAAACTTTGTGTTACTTGTAACTATAGTTACACACTGGACACGTTTATACTTGGATTTATAAGTAAACACTGCTCGTGTTTATGTTTGCGTTTATAGATAAATAGTTTTCGTGTTTATATTTCGCTCTTTAAGTGAAAATGGTTTTATTTATATTTGACTCTATAGATGTGTAATGGTCGGGTTTATACTGAGCTCAGTAAGTAAACATTGGGCGTATTTATAGTTTAGTTTCTGTTGTGGTGTCCTCCCTCTAAAGAGTCTATGTTTGATTCTTCTGCCTACTATAAGATTAGTAGGAGAGAAGGCCTTGGGCGAACAACCGAATAGATTGTTCGTTACTGTCGAACTCTCTGCCTTGAGCAGAGAGAAACCCGGACGAGGCTTTGCTGAAGGGCAAAGTTTCGTCTGGGGCAGTAGACAGGCCCTGAACCCGTTTATACGGGTTCTACGGGAATATTTTTGGCCGAACCTACGGGATCGGAAAACCCACGGTAAACCCGGCCTTGTGCCACATACATCCCTCGGTGGGGCCGTTAGATATTAACAGTCGAAAAGATTGTTCGTTACTGTCGAACTCTCTGCCTTGAGCAGAGGGAACCCGGATGAGGCATTGCCGAAGAGCATAGTTTCGCCCGGGGATGTAGACAGGCCCTGAACCCGTTTATGCGGGTTCTACGGGAATATTTTTTGCCGAGTCTACGGGCTCAGAGAACTCACGGTAAACTCGGCCTTGTGCCACATACATCCCTCTTGGGGGGGGGACTGTTAAATATAACAGTTGAATAGATCTGTTCCAGCTGTGCTGGTCAAACTCTCTGTCCCCGGGAAGAGAGGATCCCCAGAGATGGTTATGTCGAAGAGCAGAGTTTCGTCTTGGGAAACAGCTACCCAAACCCGTTTTATACGGGGTCTATGGGGAATTTTTCGCCGAGCCTGCGGGCTCGCGTTACCCCATATTAAACTTGGCTTTGTGCCACATTCTATCTTTTGGGGAGGCTGTTAAATCTAACAGTCGAATAGATTGAACACTGGGTCAACCGATAGACACTCACTAGTCGTGTAATACTCTTCTGTTGTACTTACTGTTTAATATATGATATATCTGTAACTCTTGTTTTGTTATTTCTTTAAGCATTTACTTGGTCACAACAGTTTGACATTGGTCATATTTATAGTTGACTCTTATAGGTACAAAAAAATAGGCTTTATAATATTAGTAGACATTTATCTTTTATAACTAAGGCTGTAAGCATCCACATTATAGCTGTAGCCTCTTTTAGTGTACTTACCACTGTGCAGCTGATGCAGTCAGTGTATTCTCGACTTTGCTGACACAGAAAAACCTTTTTCGAAGCAAAGCGTGAACAATTATCCTATTAAATCGACTTTGTCCAATTAGCTTGTGATTATTATCACTTCTTTTTTTCGCTGTTTGTAATCGTTAAAATTGATAATGAGGAAACCACCTCGCAGGAGTTATCAAATATTTTGCATCTCAGGAAATGGGATCACCGAAAAGTTAAGTGAGCCGCTTATTTGTGCTACGTGAGGTTCAGTAACCCATTTTCTGGTAAATTTACTCTGAAACATTCTAATGAGCAATTTTACTAAGCTCCTGAATAAAGTATATTGTAAAGGCGAAAGTGTGCTGAAAGGGTATCATTTTCAGATTCTACAGCAAATTTATATCCCGGACGATACAACATATCTTTTTTCATGAAATTCTTCCTTTTCTTCTATGTGCAGTGTCCCTTCAGGACAGGAGAGATCATTGCTTTCCACGATATCCTATCATTTATAGCTCTTAGCAATGTTTGCTTTGTTGCTATCCCCCTCACTGACTCTCTGCTCTGCTCTGCTCTCCATCTCCAAAGCTTATTAGGTTGATCATGGCTCTCCACAGTTTCCTATCCTTTGTATTGCTAAGCAATGTTTGTCTGTTCACCATCCTCCCAATTCCTGTTCTACCACCTATCTACACAAGCTTATTAGTTAGGTTGATCATGGCCCTCCATAATATTCCTATCCTTTGTATTGCAGAGTAATATTTATCTTTTCACCGTTCCATGTAGTCTCTGTTCTGCAAATCGTTTACACAGGCTCATAAGGCAGGTTGATCATGACTCTCCGCAACTTCCCCTCTTTTGTATTGCTAAGCTATATTTGTCTTTTCACCATTCCTCCCAGTCCATGTTCTTCCATCCCTATACAGAAGCTCATTAGTAAGGTTACTCACCATTTCTGTCTGCATAGATTGACTCTGCTTATATTTATACCAAGATATCTAGGTAAACGCTGGTCGTGTTTGTATTTGAGTCTACAGATTGACAGTTTTCGTATATATACTTAGCTCTATGGTTAAACATTGGTCATCTTTATACTTGAGTCAATGTATTGACTGTTTTCATGTCTATACCGTACACCATGTTTAAACATTGGTCGTGTTTGTACTTGAGTCTACAGATTGACAGTTTTCGTATATTTACTTAGCTCTATGGTTAAACATTGGTCGTGTTTGTACTTGAGTCTATGTATTGACAGTTTTCATGTCTATACTTGGCTTGTATGGTTAAACATTGGTCGTGTTTATACTTGAGTTTATAGATTGATAGTTTTCGTATCTATACTTGGCTTTATAGGCAAACACTTGTGTTTATACTTGAGTCTATACATAGACAGTTTTCGTGTCTATTCTTGGCTCTCTATTTAAACACTGGTCATGTTTATACTTGAGTCTATCATAGGATAAAGTACAAATAGGAAACATTTAGAACGTTGTTTTTTTAAGTAATTTCTATGGTTGGATCAGATGAATTGTGATGAGATAAAGATAAAATACGTATCAAACTCCAATAGTTTACAAGTCTCCTATTTGTTTTTTACCTTATCTGTCGGATTCTGATCCATATTTGATCTCTATTTGATCCCAATTCATTTCACTCTATAGATATATAGTTTCAAATTGTCAGTATCAGTGTGAAATTCTCTAATCCTTAATTTCGACTTTATCTTTCATATTCTATGTATAAACGTGCTTTTTTTCCGTAAAACTTCCTCATTACTCCCATGTTCAGTCCATGACGTTCTCAGCATACCTTTGTAGTCTTCTCTTCATATGTGAAGACATTATTCAGCATTCACTGTCATATAGAAAGATTGATATCACATAGCAGTTAAGCACTCTTTTCATTGTTTCTAACGAAATGTTCCGGTTTCTTAATATTTGCTTCATTCAAATTGGCGCTATACGCCTTTTGGGAGTTAAATGGCTTATTATGTGTCGCGTCCTTTCGGGGCGTAGATGATGATGGTTCTC